GTACGTGCGGGCCAGAAAGCAAAGGGGGTTGCTAGACATGGACAGCAGAGGAGCCCTGCATCGCTTCCTCTCCTAGTAGATTTGGACTTCAGCATGAATGCTGCTTTACAGAAAAGCACTTGCTAGCTCTAACCCACCTCTTGGTCTCCAAAATGCACAGGGCTGGCTTAAAAATCATGAGATTTATTAATGAATCAATCATGGGATTTGATTCTTTTCCTCTGCCTTCCAGGATCAGGCTTTGAGGATCACTTTATTATTATTATTCCAGCAACCAAAGGTGCTAGAAAACAGATTTTAAATATATATATATATATATATATATATATATATATATATAATGTTTAAGGAATGTAAATTTAAATAAATAAATATTGGAAGTTTTAAAATTATGATCAAATTTTTTTTTAAAAGATGGGCGTTTCTGTGATCACATGCATCCAGGAGCTGGGACTTGAAGATAGGAAGGCTAATTAATGCAAGGCTCCAGTACAATCCCCCAAGTTGGCAGCACCATCAGAGTAGTGGTTTGATCACGTGTCTCTAATTAAACAGCACGTGGGATAAAGACCAGGTTCTGCTACGAAAAAAACAGATGAATTGCAGGGTCCTACACGTGCTTGTGCCCACAAGCCCAGGGAAGGGGGAGAAGCCAAGCTGTCAGACCTGTCCGAGAGGTATAAATCACACTGAGACCTGGCTCATGTCTCATGTTCACCAAGGAGATCCCCTTTTAAATGCCCCTCGATATTCTTCCCCACTCCCCAACTCTGTCCTTAACTTGCCGCATGACGGTAGCATCAGTCCTCTGGGCCCTCTACATACCAAGACAAGCCAAGACATGAAAGCAAGGCCACGGGGAAGAGCTCCTGCCATCCTCCTTTCACACTTGAGTCCGGTAGCATTGATGAAATCTCTTAGTTCAATAAGGCCATGAAGCCTCTTCTTCCTCCCCTAACCCCCTGCTGTCCTCCTCCGCAGTTGATGAGCACACCAAAGCCCTTGAGTGTGCAAAATCCTACCTGCTCTTCCACCCGGACGACCAGGACGTCTTGGAAAATGCAGTCTATTATGAGAGCCTCTTGGAAGACAAGGTGGACCCAGAGACCATCGTCCCCAGGGAGGTGAGGATCAATGCAGCGAGAGGATCCCCAGTGGCACAGCGCCTTGCTGGAGCATCATTTGGAAGTTGCTTAATTAGTGCAGCAGCCGAGTGATTTTGTGCTGCATCCGTGCAGAGGAAAGGGCAAGAGGGCGAAGGGGCGGGTGGTATTCACACCAACCTAAATCCAGACTCACTGGCAAAGCTGAGCGCAGGCCTCTTTTTTTCAGTCTGTGTAATGGGGGTAAAATATAACCAGCCCTGGCAGAAGCGATGATGTGATATGCCCGTGGGTTTGCAGGATGCTGCTTGGGAGGGGAGAGATGTAGGAGTAATGTTGTAAAATATTTCCCCGAGGGAAGCGACTGAGGTCAGCCTTGCTCCTGAGTCATTTAGGGCAAGACTGGACAAAGTCCGGGTGGTGGGAACAGCCTTGCCCCAGCTGTTGAGATGAGCCAACAGCTGTTGTTTGATCAGCATGGAAACAGACCTCCTTCTGGCCTGAGTCATTTTTATTTGTGCTTCAGGGACTGCCTTTCCCATTCTGCCGACATGAGAAATCATGTCCTCATGGGGCTGCACCCACTCCATGTCGCAGCACCGGGGACGGCCTGGGCTCTCCTTTTCCTGGGGAAATCCAGGATTCAGGAAAAAAAGTTTCTGTTCTAAAATGGAGCAAGTTTAGATGTAGTTTCAACAGCAGCAGCAGCAATCAGTGATGATCAATGGAACCAGACTGGTCTCAGTGGGGGCAGACGACAGAAGGAGCAATGGGCTCAAGCTGCAGCAAGGGAAGTTGAGGTTGGATGTTAGGAAAAACTTTCTCACGAGGAGGATAGTAAAATACTGCAACAGGTTCCCCAGAGAGGTGGTGCAGTCTCCATCCTTGGAGGTGTTTAAGACCTGGCTAGACAAAGCCTTGTCTGGCATGATGTAGTTGGGGCTGGCCCTGCTTGGAGTAAGCTTTTGGACTAGATATGACCTCCTGAGGTCCCTTCCACCCACATTTCTATGATTGTATGATTTTATATCCCCTTGCAGTTGAGGATCGTTTTTCTTTTATGATTTTATCTTTTATGGTTGCCTTACCTGTGGGTTTAGAGTTTGTATGTAGAGTTTAGATTATGTAGAGTTTAAATAAGACGTAGTTTGAGATGAGAGTTTAGATATGTAGAGTTTAGATAAGACATGTAGTTTGAGATGAGAGTTTAGATATGTAGAGTTTAGATAAGACGTAGTTTGAGATGAGAGTTTAGATATGTAGAGTTTAGACTGTGGTTTGTCTGAGCTGGTTTGGATGGGGCTGATCCTCCACGGCTCAGAGAAAGCAAGCAGGAGGGAGCCCGGCTGTCTTGCAGTGCTCAGGATCCTCACTTAGGCAACTGCATCCTCGGTTCTGGTCCCTGCCGCCAGGACGGATCATGCATTTTGCATTAGACAGTCATTAGTAATGGACGGAAATAACCCAGGTAGCGGGGACCCAAGAGGCATCCGACTCCAAGGATCAGCCTGGGTCTGCCCAGGGGCATGAGCAGAGCAGGGCTCTGATCCCTGGCAAGCACAGGACGGTTCTTCCTCTCTGAAGACCCTGGCGCACTGCATGGAAAAATACAAGGAGTGTTGGCATGAGCAAAATTACCGTATTACCCTGCATACCGTACACCCCCAAGTAAGGCGCACACCTTGTTCTGGGAAGGCAGAATGAAGCAAAATAGGATTTTTCCAGGCTGAAGGCTGGCCCCATGGAGCAGGCGAAGAGTCTCCTCTTCAGCATCACTCCCTCCTTCCTTGTCACACCTGCTGCTGCATTGGCAGAGCCAAAAGCTGCTGCCAGTTCGGCAGGAGCTGAGAGGAGGAAGGCTTTATTTGCAAGGAGAGAGTGGGTGATGGATGAAATCTGCTTTTCCTGCATGTTCAGCACGGAGCCAGCCCCAGGGAGCTATTATAGCATCCCCCTGCCTCCATCCCAGCGTGGAAATCAGCTTAAAACCCACAACCCTGTTTGAGAAGGATTTTTTTTGAGGGAAAGGTGCATTGCTTGGGCCCTCTTACACCTGTGATTGCCTTCTCTTCTTTATCCTTTAAGGAGGCTGCAACATTTCTGAGACGTTACAGGCTGGAGTCTCACCTGCTAAAGATGGGTGCAGCGGGCCTGGGATTCCTCTACACGGAGCCGGTAACAGCAGGGACCCCCTTACCATGAGTGCTTGTCACCTGTGGTGTCATTCAGGTCTCCTGTTCCCATCACCGAGGCCAGGCACATGCAGGCGGGAGCAGGGGGTCTTAAATGAGCAATCCCAGCTTAAATCAAGGTGTCTTTATGGGCATGGCAGGTGCTGATGAGTGTGTCTTCACTGCACAGCCCCTGTTTGCTGCAGGCTGGAGATGGGGAGCTGAGGCAGGAAGAGGCTAAGTGACAGAGTGGGGAATTGGGATGCATTTTTGGGGGGAAGCACCCACCTCTGATTACCCTGGGTTTGCTCTGGTTCCCAGCCAGGCAGCCTTGGCCTGTGGTCTGAGATGAGTCTGGACCCCGAACCTAATGCGTTTCATCCCCATGGATCCAAAAATGGAAACTCAAGCAACAGGACCCCTGCTTCAGCCTGCTTGGGTGGAGGAAAGTGTGCGCGTGTGTGTGAATGAGCATGTGCAAGCAAGAGCTAACCTTGCAATCAAAGGACAGCCTGCACACTAGGATGGGGCATCCCCATATGTTCCCAGGAGCCAGAGAAACCCAAACCGCTCATTTCTTCCACTGAAATGAGCTCCTCCATCTGCTCTGCTCCTTCCCTCCAAAACCCAGCCTCTCCCTCTTGTTGCAGAACTACTGGAACCGGTACGGGGCCCGGCAGGATGAGCACAGGTGAGCCGCACACCCCTCCCCACCTTGTTTTATGAGCTTTTGGGTGCATGAGGATGGTGTCCTGCAGCGGGGACTGCAGGGGGCTCAGACCAGGTCTGTCTGCTTTCAAGGGAGATGCTGCCTCTGCCCCGCTGATCTCCACCACCCCATTGCAGGCACTACATGCCGGTGCGATTTTTTATGGTCTCATCCCCGAGCTCCTCGCTAACATCAGCACACCCTCATCTGGGAGGGATGCCTGTGCACATGTTTCACAGATGGGGGGACCCAAATCTGTGCAAAGAGCCAAGTCCCTGACCCCCTTCCCCAAGCCGCTTCCCTAACATTTCCCATCAGAGGATGCTTGCCTCTCATTGCAAGGCCCCGCAGCCTCCAGCTGCTCACCCTTGCAGCACCTGGGTACATCTTGGAGGCTCATGGGACAGGCAGAGGTAAAATCTGAGGTGCTCATAGCCCCAAGAGCGGTATCGCTCTCAGGCTATCTTGGTGGACAGTACTGCAGCCCCTTTGATGCATTGGCAACACCCCGTACCTTTCAAAGGGTTAAAATGATACAGTCTGGGCTGTGCTAGGACAGCGGTGTCTCTTCACCTTGCACCTAATGGGTGAAGTGCAGACCTTTCCCTGAGCACTTGGTCCCATCCCCAGGGTAGAGTCCCCTGAGACCCGCAGGGAACTCACCAGCTTCCCTTTTGTCGTGCAGCGTCCCCTCCGGCGTCAGCAGCGAGCCGGACGAGGGTCCCAGGCTGGTGATGAGCAAGAAGCCGGCTCCCAAGATGGAACGAGAGCTACGGGAGGGTGAGTTTGCCTGAATCCAGGAGTCGCAGAGCTCCCCGCCGGTCTGCAAGGCAGGTCTGAAACACCCCAGGAGGAAGCACAGCCGACCCACTGCCCCCTTCCTCTGGCCTGGCCAGACAGGAGGGGATGGATAGATCCACCCTCAAGCAGTGCTAGGTGCATGCTGAGTCCCTCTCCTAGCTTCGGGCGTGCTTGTTAGCTTAATATGTGGCTGTG